GGTGGAGTTCAGAATGCTCTTTGATTTTAGGTGAACTATAAACCCCAGCAACTACATCTCACAAATGACAAAATCAAAGCCTCCACAACCCCAAATGTGGGTGTAACGGGTATTTGTGCTCAGTTTGGTTCAGTGAATGGACATGAATGGAAATACATCCTGCATATCAGATATTTACATGATGATTCATGACAGTAGCAGAATTACAGATGTGAATTAGCAATGGAAATAATMTTATGGTTGGGGGTCACCACAACATGAGGAATTGTATTAAGGGGRCGCAGCATCAGGAAGGTTGAGAGACACMGTACTAGAAATATTATTTTATTTTGCTCTTTTTTCAAAATGACACTTCGGCACCAAAAGGGCACAATTCCGGCTCGCCRTTCAGTGATGATAAATCCCACCCCAAATCAGCTTTCCCTTTCTTCCCCATTATAAATCATTACAATGATTMCCCGTTTAATGTCTATGATTAAATATTCAGGATGCAAATCATTTCTAGATCTAACCACAATGACAGTGTCGGTAACCTTAGGTTGCTTTCATTTACAGCCATGATTGGCATCAATGGGAAGGTTGAGTTAGTTTGCTGCCATCTGTTTACATCTACATTGAAGAATTAATGCAGTCTGGTGTCAGAAATATTTTTWAAAAATTAATTAGGTATTTTAAATTACAAAAATGTGKGTCAAGAACTGAAAGGGTTAATTCACCTCAGTCAATGAGAAGTGTCAGTCTGAGAGAGCCCTCAGTGTGAGAAGGCCTCYGTGTGTTAATAGGCTTCAGTATGAATAGGCCTCAGTGTTAGTTCACCTCAGTATATGAGAAGTGTCAGTCTGAGAGAGCCCTCAGTGTGAGAAGYCCTCAGTGTGTTAATAGGCTTCAGTATGAATAGGCRTCAATGTTAGTTCACCTCAGTATATGAGAAGTGTCAGTCTGAGACAGCCCTCAGTGTGAGAAGGCCTCAATGAGAGAAAGGCCTCAGTGTTAGAAGGCCTAGTGTGTGAGAGGCCTGGTTTGAGAAGGTTTTGGTGAGAGAAGCCCCAGGTTGAAGGCCTCGRGTGTAAAGCTCCAGTGTGAAGGCTGCTGTGTGTAAAAGGCTACTGTGTGAAGCTCCTATGTAAGTTCAGTGTGAGTGGAAGCTCAGTGAGAACGAAGCCTCAGTTTGAGAGAGCCCTCAGTGTGAGGAGGCCTCAGTGGAAGGCTTCAGTGTGAGGTAGGCCTCAGTGTTAGTAGGTTTCGATGTGAGAAGATTCGGTGAAAGAAGACCTAGGTTGAAGGCCATCATGTGTGTAGGTTGTTGTGTGTAAACAGCTACTGTGTGAAGCTCCTGTGTAACCTTGGTGTGAGAAGAGGCTCTGTGAGAGCGAATGTTTATCTGCATAAGTAAGAAGGCCAGTGTGGAAGCAAAGAAGGAAGTATAAAGAACTTTATTTGTGTTATGGAAACCTTGGTCTTGTAAATAGTGCA